AAATCAGTGAAATATTCACTGATTCAGATTTAGAGTGTAATTTTCTGAAATATTGCACTCCTGCAATATTTAAGAAATATTTCACGTAAAGTTAAAATTTTTTCAAAATATGAAATCAATCGGTATTTTCTAACATGTTCAACACCCCAGAATTCTAAAAAAATTAAAAACTACTGCGCAGCTGTAATGGCCATAGAAACATGAGATTGACCAGTGCGCATCATATTTAAATTGAAAATTTCCATAATATTTCAATGAAATATTTCCTTAACTATAGCATCAATATTTCCTCAAAGGCGGACATTTTCCTGTTTACAACAATATTTCAAGAACTTTTCATTGGAATATTTTTAATCTTTTAGTGAAATAATTCAAAAATATTTAGAAAATATTATGTGCTGTGTGGGCCATAATTAAAATAATAATAACTGAGATAATTGAAAACTTGCATCAAAGTGGGATTTTTTCACAGAAAATTAAAAGGCATTAAAATAAGCTGCAACGCTTCTTATTTTAATCCAATTTTGCTTATTTTAATCCATTTTGGTATTAAAATAAACAAAATTGGATTAAAATAAGAAGCGTTGCAGCTTATTTTAATGCCTTTTAATTTTCTGTGTTAGAATTAAATTATAACTAAGAAGTTGGTTGATTTTCTAAAGTTTTAAATTTAATTAAAAATTTACAAAAGGATTGCCAATTTCTAACGTTTAAAATTATTATATAGCAAAACAGTAACAATAGAATTTATTTCTAATCTTACCTTGTTTAGGTTCAACAATATTAATTTTTTAAAGCAAAGTCGTCATCAACTCACCTGAAACAGAAAAATTATTATTTAATATTAGTTATTTAATATTAATTAAAATATTTTTAGTTCATTACATTTATCATTCATTTTTATAATTTTCTTTTACGTAGATTAAGGAGAAGTTTTTAGAATCCTTTATTTTAGTGAATATATTTAGGAACTAATGTAATATTTTTGACAACATATTTTTTTTATTTGATGATATTTGATTTTTATTGGCAATTACGTATAAAATAAATCAATATTAATATTTTTTTGAAGATACATAATCTTGTTGCAAATCATAATATTTAACAATCAGAAACTACCGAATTTTTTTCGTTCTCCAGTAAAGATTTGCGTTAAAAATATTTCCACATTTTTGGTGGGATTAAAATACGTAGAAAAAAACTTAAAAATTACAAAATTTATCATAAAATTCCTTAACTGGGATAAAAAAATCATAGACTTATAAAAATGTTTTAATTGATACTGTTAAAAGTAAACTGCAAACATAGGTTATATCATACCTCCAAAACAGTCGGAATCGATTTAAGTGAAATAAAATAGAATGACCCATCGTCTCTTTGTACTAATTATTGTATAAGTGCTTATACATTAATTTAGTTTAAAATACTAGTTTGAGTGACACAAACATTTTTTAATTCCAAATAATCGTTTACTTGACTATGAAATACTTACTTCAATCAAATAATTTTTACTAAAAACAATAAACCTGAAATGAATAAACTATTCTAACCAATAATTTTTGTATTAAAAAAAAATATTATTAAATCGAATGAGTTAATTAAAATACTAGTTATTTGATGCAATTAAAAAGTTATTTGGTAATAGACAATCAAATTTTGTCAGTATATAATGATTATATTATTATAAATATTAGTGTTACCAATATTTGATTATTATTATTGTATGAAAAAACGACGAGAGCTGAATGAAAAAGTCGATAAAAGAGAATTTACCATTGCCATGGATAAATAAGGATTCTTCTCGTACTCAGACGGTGAATTATTTCTTTCAGTGTCAGTTTGTGCGACATCTGTTTATTTCATCAAGAACTACTAATGACAGTCGGTCTTTGAGCCATAATATTATTATTATTATTATTATGTATATAAAAATACATAATACCAGACATGCCAGACATGTAAACAGTATTTCAAAAAAATAATATTTTTAAGTCAAATTTTTTTAAAAAATGTTAAATATTATTTGTTTTAATATTGACATTCCAAGTATTATTACATACAATGATATAACAACATTCATTCAGATGGTTTATTCGAATACTATTTACTCTTTTCAACGACCAGTATTTGTTATACGGGGGCATTAATAATTTTTTGTTAAGTTGAAAAATTAAAACTGAATATCAAAAGACTATTTTCCAGTTTAATTTAATAAATTTCAGACAAAAAACCTTAATTTTCTAAAAAACAACTTTTTTTTATAAAAATCGAGTCTACAAAGGACTCATTAATTTTACATTCATTAATGATAAAATTTTTTTATTACTACTCTTTTGTATAATTATATAATAATTATTCTAATAATAATTATTAGAATAATTATATAATTGTAGTTATTATTTTTTCTAGGTTTTATTAGAATTATTACATGGTAAAGAATATGTAATATATCATATTTTGTCATTTATCGATTTTTGGAATTACGGAAAAAATAAAAGTCAAAAAATTTTAGGAAAAATAAAAAAAAATACTTTGAGAAACATAACGGTATATAATGGCATATATTAACAAAAGAATTGTGTAACAGCTATGTATATATCCATATATATATACGTATATGCTTCCCGCATGTTATATTAACTTCACAACAAAAGAAAATATCTTTTTTTTTTAACTCGAAGCAGTGGACGCATATCAGGCACATGCAAATGATTCTTCAGTCATCTTTTGCAAATAAAGAAGTAGAGAGGAACTTTTTTTTTTTTTGAATAAATAAAAAAAGACGGAAATTGAAATAAGCAGGCGTACGAAAAAGAGCGCAAAACAGGATATATTCCCACAGGACATATGCTTTTACAGAGATTCATTCTCGGTACAAGAAAAAAAGAAACCATCGCGTGCGCGCATGAAATGAACCACAACTTTAACAAATACAGAAAAAAATGGACACTGTAAATATTTATTTAAAAAAAAAATATTAATAAAAAACGAATGACAAATTAAAAAAAATTTTATTCCAAATTAATGAGTTATAGCAAATTTATTATTATTATTATTATTATTAGTAAAAATAAAAATTGATATCAAATTATGTAAGTATATTTATATATATATATGACCTAATTGTAAAGATAGAAAATTTGACAAATGAGTTGGTATTAGAGTAATATCATTAAAGTTCGTCGTTAAAGCGCGAAAACTATGTTTGTGAACGAAAACAGTTGTCGAGCCTCCATGAACATTCACTGTTCTCCCGGTACCGCTAACTGCGGTCCGTTATTTGACCGAGAGCCCTTCCTACGAGTTCGAAGTGAAAAAAGCATTTCTATAAACCTCCCTTTTTAACTGTTAAAAACAATTTTGCTTCTTTAAAAAATTTTCACGATTATGTAACTAATTATCAACTTTTTATTAGTATACATTAGAAAATAATAAATATTGACACAACAATATTATTGTCACATGATGTTTTAAAATAGTGAAAGTATAACGAATAAATATATATGTATTCAGAGAAATTTTTTATTTAAACAAAAAAAATTTTTTTTTTCAAATTAAATAAAAATATATATTATTTCTTACTGAAAATAACTATTTATTTCTTTTCAATAAAAATTTTTATTAGCAGAAATAAAATTTTTGTATGAACTAAATGTTTATTTTAATTAAATTACATTAATTTAAATTAAATAAAAATATTGTTAAAATTAAAATATTGTTAATTAAAAATTTTGTTGTCATCAATTACAATTTATAAATTAACTAAAATGTCTAAATACGGTTTTTTAGAGTCAAATATGTATATTTCTTTAAAATTCCCTAGTTTCGAACATTATACACCCAGAGAAAAGATTTCTTTGATTTAAACAAACCAGTTTCTTTGACTTGTTTTCTTTCATTTAAAATAAAAATTTCTTTGAAACAAAAGAAGCTTCTTAGTTTCAAAGAAAATTTCTTTGATTTAAAAAAATTTCCTTTGAATGAAAGAAATTCGTACATTAAATCGAAGAAATTATAACATTGATATAGGGTCAAAGAAACATTTATTTGCTCTCTAAATCTGAATTAGTAAAAAAGTTTACTAATTTGAATTAGTGACTCACTTCTTGCTTCTCAATTAGTAAAATTTTACTAATTATTAGTAACTTTTTCTAAAAATTAGTAACTGTTACTAACAATTAGTAAAATTTTACTAATTCTAAAGCAAGAAGTGAGTCACTAATTTAAATTAGTAAACATTTTTACTAATTCAGATTTAGAGAGTGAATTAAATTAAAAATTTCTTTGAAACGAAGATAATTTTTTTTTAATCAAAGATAATTTGTCAAAGAAATTGATTTCTTTGAATCAAAGAAATCTTTTTTCTCGGTGTAGTTCCTTTTTAGGGGATAAATAAATTAAAGTGTTTTACAATCATTCATAATTAATTTAGAGAGCATATAAAAAGATTTCAAAAAGGATTTATATTCAAAAAATTGAAGAGAAAAATAATTAATCAGTTCCGATGTATATTTTAAGGTTATGTTTAAATTTTAGAAAATAATTTAAGAGAGTTTGAAAAATTTCTTGCTTCTTTACTGAGAAATTAATGTTTGTGAACTAGTTAAATAACTATTTATTTCTTTTTTTTTAATAAAAATTTTGTTTGTCAGAAATAAAATTTTTGCATGAACTAAATAATATTTGTTTCAAAGAAATAAATATTTATTTGGCACAAATAAAATTTTCGCATGAATCCACTAGGATTTGAAACAAATATAAATATTAATACTAACATGAATAAAAATGTAATTTAGTAAAATAAAAATTAGCAATATTTTAAAAAAATCATGTTTTGATGAGGCAAATGCGTGAAATGAAATGCACGTCAGATAAGAATAGCTTGTTCAGATTATTACTACAGTTAAAACTGTAAAGTACGAGTGCGCATATTTGTTGTAATTTCAATTAAAAAAAAATAATAATAATAAGCGAATATTTTAAGTTCGACTTATAGATACCTGTTCCTGTAATTGGCGGAGATGTAAGTTGAGAACTGCTAATATCTGGAGGCTGCTGTGTTGTTTGTGTTTGTTGCTGGGTTTGAGGTGGTTGCTGCTGTTGTTGTTGTGGTTGCGGTTGCTGAGGACTATTCGCAGCAACAACAGAGCCAGGGCTTCCTGCACTTTCTGCCATTGTTTTGTTCAACAATATTCAATTTTTCTTGTTTTGTTTTTTGTTTGTTTTTTTTTTTAATTCACTAACACCACGGAAAACATTTTCTTCACATTAATTATCCTACGATTCTATTATTCTTTCACGTTCAGTGAAAAAGTTAAATTATTACATTAGCGTTCATTTCATGGAAAAAAATTGCTGCGTTTTCATTTTTGTATTTTCTAAAGAAGACTTTTTTTTTTAATTAGGTGTGCTTGTTGTCAGTCAGTTTACTATATAGGTTTAATATAATTTAAATATATTTATATATACGAGTTACTAATGTATTTATGGAATTTTTCTAGAATCACTATTTCAATAACTTGTTACAATATGTTGCTACGAGATTAGTACTGTTGGATTAAATATATATTATATGAATTGAACTAATTAATTTGCTAATTTCTCTATAATAGAGATTAAATGTTATACTTCTAAAGAATTTTCGTACCGTTAATATATACAGATTTTATGAATATATCGTGTACTATTTATGCCGTTTAATATATTGTTGATTTTTGTAAAAAGACTGCTAGGCGACATGAACGTTAAAGCCATGCTGTATGTGGCTGCAGTCAGTCTTCTTCTTTTTGCAGTTCTTTGCATGGCATTACTAATATTTTTTTTTAGTGATATTATTTTGTTTTTATATTGAGCTTCCTAGTTGATTTTTCGTTATCTATAAGTAAAAAAAAAATCATCAGGTAAATAATTAGTCTCTATGCTGATTTTAGTTGAAGAAAGGAAGTTGCTTTTGGTATTAAGGTGTTTTAATAATAATCGAAGCTGTATCGAGGACTAATTAGAAGTGAAATAGATGAAAAATTTTACTCTTATTTATATATGGATTAGAGTGATAAATTTACGTAAATTCTAGCGCGCATGTTGCAAAGTGAGTACTCGACCTTAGCTGTGCACGAACGCCTGAAGCAGTATAGGGTGTAATGCTGAGTGGGTCAGTGGGGCTAGTCTATCGTGACACTGAATGCAGCTAAAGTCAGTACCCCCATGAAAAGTTTTCCAAACAAACTTTTTGATTATGACTGGCTCTCCTTAATTAACTTTCATTTTATCGTATTTATTGTTAGGTAATTAAAACTTTAGGTTAAAAATACTGAAGAAAATATGTATTGAAAAAAAACTAGAAAGTAAAAAATGGTTATGGTTATAAAATTCATAATTAGAATTCATAACAGAAAAATGAAATTAAAGAATGCATGGGAAATATTTTCTCTCTAAAATGGGTATTATAGTAAATTCCTGTAAAAGGATTTTAATACCAAAGTATGAATTAACATTGATAATAAGAAAATTGCCGTGATGATATGTTTTAAGTCATAAGTTTGATTTTATAGAAAATTACCGTTCACTGTCGAGGGTGAAGCGCTTATGCGTTTCGCGCACACTTGCGCCACTTTCATGGAGCAAGGTCATTTCTTGAGATAATTTACAAGAATATATATGGGACATTATGTGGACGTTAAGTATAAGAAGCAAATAATATGAATGAAGTACTACATATATTGTGAATTGCGGAAAGAAGAACCTCTGTTTACCAATCGATTATTAGCCCTGAGAAAAGGATCAGGAAATGGCAATTTTTCCCTTTGAAATTAATTTTTAAAATTGAGTAACCCTAAATTGTTTATTGTTAAAGCAACTTCGATTCTTGTAAGTATTGTTATTTATTCTCACCATTTTGTCATCCAGTGTTAACAAAGAAAGCAGGTGAACTTTTGCTGGTTCGGGCGAAACACGATAACTCCGAACGTCTAGTCGATCACTCGATGCTTAACGAAAGCTCGCGAATGGAATTTAGGTTTAGAAAATGTAATAACTTATCGGAATTCTTTGAAATGTTATTAAACTCTGTCAAGTGATGACTTGATTTATTTTCTAAGGAGATAAACGTAGATTCGACGGAACTGACGTTTAGTTTCGGTGATGCACTTATGGGAAGCATTGGTAGACTTCGGACAAGCGCCATCAGATGGCAGCTCGAAAAAGCTCACGTTGTGCCACCCCAAAGCCAGGCCATTTTACACTCGTCACCACCCTCGCCATGCTTTATCGAACCTTCCACTTCTCTAAACCCACCCTACTATTTTTCCCACTTTTACCAATGATTCTTCTTACTCTTAATTCCACTATTTTATTTCAGATGCATTTCTATATTGAATTCCCCAACTTTCAATTCTTAATTAAATTCACCCCTTGTAGTTAACATTTTCCTCAATATTATACTTTTCAAAATTTTAGTAATATAAGCAAAGAGGAATTAACAGTAGGGTAGATTCAATTTTTATTTACTCGATTGTTTACAATTACATCATTTTAAAAATTATTTAGAGAATGTAATTTTGAACCGCATTGCATTTTTGGAGATTATGAGAAATTTCATGCGACAGTTTTAATGGAATATTAATAAATAAACATCGTAATGAGACTAAGTATATTTATTTTGATTTTGAATTATATTTTGAATTTTTGACGTGAACTTTTTCCTGGGAAAACTGCAATGGAAACGTCAATGATGTGACGTCATATGAATTGTATAAAATAGAGTGTAATAGGGCCTTTAGTTTTAGCACAGGCGCAGAACCAGCACTTGTTCGATCCGTATAGCAGCCAGGCTCTCTATTTACCCTCATGCGAAGCTCCTGCGATGCTAGATGTACGATTTGAAAAACGAGCTTCTGATAAATCTATCGTATTTTACGCAGTCGCTCTTTAGTTCTGCGAGAACAACCCTTGAAAACGCCTGAATGCATCAGTGCCATTGACTGATTGTGAGCTTTCAACATCGGCGGCTGATTGTATATATATAGTAATACCGAAACAGGAAGAATGATATACAATTTATAATCATTCAATGTATATGTTTCTCAAGAAAATAATTTATAAATTTTTACCGAAATTTGACAAATTTTCGATTTTTAATGTATACAAAATTTTTATTACTATCTCACATGGAGAAAATTATTGTTGCTACACGAAATAATATATTTGATTTAAATAATTGGTTACTTGACTATTATCAAATAAATATTTTCTTGTATCAAATAATTTTTATTTTAATTAATTCAATTTTATTTATTTCAAATTGAGAAATTATTGTTTTGAATATAGTTTATTAGATTGAAATAAAAATTATTTGATGTGAATAAATATTTATTGAATAATATTCAAGTAACCGATTATTTAAACCAAATACATTTTTTTGTCAATATACATAATGTCTATAAATTTTAACTGTCTCATCTATATGTATTTGTAACATACAGACTTAAGTCGTTTCGATATTTGACGCTACAATTAAATTATTAGCAAATACAATGTGAGTAATTAGCGTATGTAATCATATAAAATACATGGCAGCAATTAATGTTCATTAATGTATTGTTCCTATTTTTTACGTGTAAAAATACTAAAATATGAGACTATAACAATTTTTAAATTTAGCGCCATTATTTATAGTTTTGTCATTACGTGGTTGGTACTTGTACTATATATCAATTCACAAGATACATAACCTTAAAATTCTAATTAATTTTGTAAATTTTCGCCTTAAAGCTATGAGAAGTAATGTTTTTACATATACTTTGATATTAAAGGTTTCTCATATTTTTATACCAACATTATAAAAGTTAATATGAAATTAAAATATTATCATTTTTTTTTAACAAACTGGTGACCAATCAGATAAACCTAATTTGAGCGCTGAATTCAATGACATTAACCATTTTTCAAAGTAAGGTTAAATTTTTAACATACGGAGAAAAATGGAAAAATGAATAAGGTAACTTTTACTATCTTTAAAAGTAAAACCTGAACTATTTGGAGTTTCAGCGCATTTCTGGTAATTTTTACTCCAAAAATAGTAACATTTACTATTTCCGGAATAATTTTTACTATTCCAGGAGTAAATTTTACTATTTTCGGAGTAAAAATTACCAGAAATGCGCTGAAACTCCGGACATTTCAGGTTTTCCTTCAAAGCAGTAAAAGTTACTTTATTCGTTTTTCAATTTTTCTCTAATCAATGAGCATCAAAACAATTGAAACTCGTTTTTGGAGAGTTTTTAAAAAAAATTTTAAATGTCCGGCTCTAATATGGCAGACGAATTCTGTTTTAAGGAGTTTGGCGGCCCTAACATAATCTCAAAACTGAAAAATAGTTTTTGACGCAAACAAATTAATTTTTATTATAATTTTGTTTGTTTGCGTTAAAAACCATTCTTCAATTTTGAGGTTATGTTATAGACTTCATTCGCGTTATATATACTCTTTTTGAACTAAATTTTTGTTCTACTCTCGAGGAGAATATTTTACCCTGATTTTGATAAATTTTTGACAATGGTAATTTTCGTTTATTTTGAAGAAATAACAATTCAACAACCATTAGATTATCAAGTAGATTTGAAATTGAAAATAACAATAACAAAATTATAATAATTGAGTCAATAAAAAAATTTGAAAGATACAACGTGCTTTTGCATTGGTGATGGTTATTGCATGTGCATCAATGCTAATATATATAGTATGGGATGAGTCTTTCTCTCTCTCGCGATAACGGTGGTTAAGACGAGTGTTCCTCTAACGGGAAATTCTCGTAGACAATTTCTGAGACTTTCTCCTCGACGGATTATCGTCTTGTCGGCGATATATCCGTTGGTAAAGCGATTCACCGCGGCGCAAACTCCTACTTGTGCAACAGAGGCGATTCGCCGCTCGCAGAAAATTGCCGCGCTCTTTTCGCAAAACCGGTACAGTTATAACTGTACAGTTCATAGCGACGCGAAGAAACGTGCACGAGATATCTTAGCCCCATCTCTCTTTCCGTTAAGTCAAACTGAAATCACGTAATTCTTATATTTATACAGCGCTGCTTTTCGATAAAGCGTAGGAGGTACAAAGATTTTTCATCAATATTATACAACTATTGTTTCATTATCACTGAACAATCAAAAATCCATGGCAACTACTGATAAGAATAATTTGTATATGTGTGTCAAGAAAAAAAAAAAAAAAAAGTAAAATTAAATTTGAATTGAAGAAAAAAGAAAACATAGGACAAATTTGCGTGGGGACCCCATGGCCTATAGTAGAGTCCATTTGCTAAGGTCGCGAATAGCGGTTAGGTAGCCTAGTCAACTTCAGTTGGCGAATGTACCGCAACTTCTCTGTTGGGTATTTCATTTCTTGACTTTTTGTTATACGTCTTATCTGGATACAAGTAAGTCACTCATTGTCAGTTGTTCTGGATATATAGGTGCGTATTTGTTGTGTGCGACAACAATAATGAGTTTGCGTACGCAACCATCTTCATAAACTGACTCAACTTCTCATTCAAGTTGAGATTCGTGTTTAATGCACTGGCATGGCGTGTACGAACGCGTCCTAGCGGTACTTGTGAACATGCTTTTTAGCGGAGACGCATGTCCGGGTTCAGGGGCATTTAACCAAACGGCACGTTTGCGCATAATATACTATTGTATAGGTTAAGATAAAGACTATAATACCCTTTATTTACTATTCCTAAAGACATTCCAAAATTTATTAATAAAACTTACAATTTTAATAGTAAATAAAAAACTTATTTTACTCTCTTTTAAATTGGTGATAATTCATTCACTAATTTCAATTAGTGAAAATTTATACTTATTTTTAGAAGGGTTGCCACACTTTTACTAAAATCAAATTCCCTGATTTTTCTAGATTTTCCTGAACAAAAAGCGGCATTTTTCCTACTGGTTATTTATAAAAACTTTTTCTTAGAGAAAACCGAATGTATTGTTTACTTTTGCATATGAATATGTCATGTGCTCTAAAGAAAGGGACCTTAGAAGCAAAAAATTATAGGTTATGTTTTAAAATTTTTAAGTGAAAATACTCTAAGAGAAACAACTTTCAATACCATTAATGTTTATAAACATCAATCGTTTATATTGTGTACTTCTTCATTACATCGAAAATATTTAATAAAAACTGATTTTGATTTTACATAAATAAAAAGGAACTTTTAATCATTTTAAAAACTGTTGTAAACATAACCTAAAAATCGTTTGCTTCTAAAGTCCCTTTCTTAAAAACGCGTCACATATAATATAATTATTATTTCTCGAATTAAACTTTTAGAAAATAATTTTTATTAATACTTAAAAGTTTTATATAAATATTTATTTCAAGTACATGGAAAAAAAGGAACTGCTTACAGATGCTAACTGATGTTAGCCACACAGCTAATTTGTTTGTTGAGCCTATATTAGCTAACGTAATTTGGTACCATTTATACTGAAAAAAAAAATTATTTGATAATATTCAAGGAGCCGATTATTTGAATCAAATAAACTTCAATAAACTTCAATAAGAGACTGCTATTTACTAAGAATTAGTTAAATTTTAGTAAAAAAGTACACCCAGAGAAAAGATTTCTTTGATTTCTTTAACTTATTTTCTTTCATTAAAAATAAAATTTTCTTTCAAACAAAAAAAGCTTCTTAGTTTCAAAGAAATTTGTGCATTAAATCAAAGAAATTTTAACATTGATATAGGGTCAAAGAAACATTTATTTGAATTAAATAAAAAATTTCTTTGAAACGAAGATAATTTTTTTTTAATCAAAGATTTTTGAAACAAAATAATGAATTTTTTTTGTATCAAATAAAACTTTGTCAAAGAAATTGAAATCTTTTTTCTGGGTAACAAAATAATAAATAACAAAATTTTAGTTGCAACAAAATCCCTTTTTAATTAAAGTTGACTTTTATTTTTCAGTTAAAAAATTGGAACTTTTGTTTTTATTTTCAATGAAAAGATAAGATTTTTTTCAATAGGCTATGTATTTAAATATAAAAGTGGAATAACAATAGATTTTTGTGGAAGTTTAAAAATCAGTGAAAACAATTTTTTTTATCGCATACGTTCAATTTTATATATTTAATAATCGGAAAAATTCTCTGCTTTCAAATAAAAATGAAAAGAATGGAAAAAATGCCCAATTGAGTTA